TTTTCGGTATCGGTTTCGGCCAAGAATTTCCCATTCGGTGCACCCCTAATATGTACCTTTTTTGGACTTGCATACAGACATGTTTCTATATGTATATTGATATAGAAAAGTATTTATATTTGTATATGTAAACATAATTCTATTGTTGATATTTTATTATATACTGTTTTTTACATTCTTTATTCCTATTTATCCTTGTGTGAACTCTTACCTGTCCTGTCCTGTATTGTATTTAAATTGTAATCCTGCTGTTGCTTCAACATCTACATTTCAATAAAGGTCTATCTAAAAGACAGACTGTTGTGCCATTATTCTGTCTTGCTATACTGTTTAAAAGTTAGGAAAGAAAGAAAGTAAGAGTCCCCCCCACCTGTCTCAGAGTTGGGTTGGAGGTTGTGTATTTTGGCCCAGCCAAGAACAGCCACGCGTCGAACACAGGCCGCTCTGTCCCTTAGGCCTGCAGTCAGAGGCTGCTCCACATACTCCACCAGACTGGGCAACCTGGGCGGGCGCGGGCGCGGGCACACACACACACACACACACACACACACACACACACACACACACACACACACACACACACACACACACACACACACACACACACACACACACACACACACACACACACACACACACACACACACACACACACACACACACACACACACACACACACACGTCAGTCCTGCAGCCCGTGAGAGGGTTTGCGGTCCCTGTGTGCAGCAGCTCACCGGAGGTTGGTCATGTTCCTGAGAGCCAGGCTGCGCACCATGGGGTTGGGGTCCTGGCAGTCCTTCCTCAGCGTGTTGATGACCAGCAGAGACAGCTCAGGGTTTAGAGCGGCGTAGGAACACAGGAACACGTAGACCAGTTTCTTCTGGACGATGTCAGCAGTGGCACACGCTTTCACCATCTCACTGAACAGGCCGGACACATCCACACCCTGAGACATCGCCCTGAGGGGGGAGGGAGCGAGAGGGGGAGAGAGATGTTAAAATATAATAAGAGGCAGTGACCCTTACTTCCAGGTTCTTCCTTCCTGCAGCAGTCAGGCTCTACAACCACCACGGCGCCTGGTAGACCACCACACACACATAGACTGGAATACACCTGATGTGCAATTTACTCTTTGTTTTTCTTTCAATTTACTTACAATCTGTAAACAGTAGCAGCTACCACTTTGATATGGTCACTTTAAAAAAATATATATACTGTTACTTTTTCACCATGGTGTACTTTGTTATTTGTTTGACTTATTGTGCTTTTATTATTAATAATGTGTGCCAAATAAGATTTGATTTATATGCAAGGCTATTCTCTTTACTTTATCTGCACTGTACTTGTGCTGTTGTAATAACGGAAAGTTAGCCATGTAAAGGAATTCTGATTCCGAGGACAACAGTTTACTCTGGGAGTCTGTAAACAAACAAGTTTACAGTGTGACATTGGAGTCTTTAAAAGAAAGAAAACACGTTTGTGTCCTCCCTATTAACATACACAGGGGACAGAATATAAAATACATGAATTAAACCATTTCCTCACATTTCTACAATCTTTTAAACAACATACTTCGACTTTTATCTTACAGGTTTTGGAGGAAACTAAAGGGAATATCAAACACCTTAAATAACTTAGCAACAGTTTGACAATGTGAAATAAAACAACAATAATGTATGTTATAGCACCTATAATGTTTATTAATCTCATATACATTTTTATAAGGTTATCGAAAAACCTTAATGGAATCCTTTTGAAGCTGGACTTGACTATAACCATGTACCCTTTAAAGTTGTATAGCTTTTGTATTGTTAACCGTAAAGGGAAGTTGGCCATGATTTCCCTGCAAACCGGTTCAGTAAATAACCTCACATTTTGATAGTCAAGGTCTACATACATAGTAAGGATTCAATTGAAAAGGTTGGCCAACCTCTTAAAGGAATGTGTGGCAGGTCAAATATGAGGACAGTGTCAATATGTAACCATGTGTTTTGCAGTAATTATATGTACATTGAAACTTCTTCAAGATTCAAAGTCAGAAACATTTGGAGTAGAAATTCATTGCAATTCTAAAAAAAACGATTATTAGGATTTGTAATTTGGACTGGAATGAAAGATTATAGTTTGTGTAAAACAAATCATTGTCAAAATGTAATGTAAAAAATGTCATTATTATTACATTTTATTTATTATTGATATATATATAGTATGTTTTACAAATATAAGTATAATGATACAAAAGTTAACACAATTGAAAAGGATGTGTCTGTGAATTAAGATAATATATAAGCATCTTCAAACTTATAAACACAAAATATAAGATTTAAAAAAATCTTTCAAACCCTAAGGTGAATTCTTCAAAGAATAACGTATCCTTTTCATTTATTATTTAATTGAAGTTTATTTATGACAATTTCAATATATATTTTTTTATTGAAAGTAATAGTGTTTTCTCTGTACCATTATGGTGAATATGTAAATGAACAATTGAATATATATGTATGACGTGATAATATTGCTGCCGGTCATATGAACAACATGCATGTCAGGTGTCAGACAGTTTTGCTGAAAACATGGTTGTTTCTTTCTTGTTGCCTGTTCCAAGAACCACTACCGTAACAGCTAGACTAGACCGCCATCACAATACAAAAGGGCCCCAGTTTCAGACGGGTTCGACAGGATATTTTCTGCGGGGAACCCTTATAAAAGAACTGGTCACAAAGCGCTGAGGACCGTCACCTACCGGAGGACCTTGAGCACGGTGTTCCGGTATCGCAGCGGGTCGGACTGGATGTGGGGGTTACACAGAGCCCTCCTCAGCTCCCGCTCCGTGTCCTCACTACCCAGATACGGCATGGCGGACACACGCACCAGCCCACACTATGTTAATTTAAAATATCACCTGCGACATTACACTATTCTTAATCAGAAGAAATGTTACTTTTAAATCCATTTAATACTTTCAATTGGGGGGGTTCATTCCTATTTCCATGACTCGATTGTTTACACCGTGCGCACTTCCGCATTTCTTCTTCTGCTGTTAGTTTATGTTACCTTTGTGATATGCTGCCCTCTGCTGGTCGGCGTAGAGTGGGCATGTTTATGCATCATTCGAAGAACGCGTTTTTTATTTCTTACATTTTTGGGTAACACTTTACAATAAGAATACCTTTATAAAGGGTTTACGAATACTTTGTAATTCATTTATTAATTAGGTTGTGAACACTTTATAAATCCTTAATAAGCTTTTATAAGAGATAAGCAGGGCAACTGTGACCGGTTGCTTGCCAAATAGTGAGCCCACATTTATCTGTAGGCTACTGCTAAGCCTTATGGCTACTTAGCTTACTTCTTCATCAGCCAGCATCCTTGGTATCTGTTATTCACTGAGTTGATTCTCGCTAAGTAGCCAACATAAGGCTTAGTCCTCTTGCCAAATAGTGAGCCTGTGTTGATGTATGAAAACTATGTTAGAACTGATTCTTAATGATTAATAAAGTGTTTAAAAACTGATTCATAACCTAATAGTAAACCCTTTATGAATCATTTATAAGGGTAGTCTTATTGTAAAGTGGTACCCATTTTTGGTAACTTGTTAGTAGTCTTGTAGGCTAGTCATTGCATAAAACGCATCTAATAGAAAAACAAAGCAGTAGGTAAACTTAAATAAATATTAGAAATTAAACGTAAGTATAAGACATTTGAATCAGAATCAAGCAAGGAATTTGCTTTGGTATCTAGTGAAGTTGCACCTATAAAGAAAGGTGTTTCCTACTGTGTGCTGTGAAACATATGGAATGCATTATGTTAAAGTGGACCTATCAGGCTATATTTGAATAATAAATTGTAGGGGCAGGCCATACCATAGATAGATTCTAGGGCCAATATGGTCTACCTCCGGCCGCGGCAAGTACACAATACTACACGACACGCCCCCTACACGACACGCCCACCTGAGACGACACTACGGTGGCTGAGAGACATTACCGTACATGGCAGATTAAAAGCTAATTTCAAATGTTATTGTAGCATTTTAAGCAACTATTAGGCAAATAAATTAATAACCTAGTCTATCCGTTTGAGACACAACAGTATAACTTTCAACCCAAATAATTTTGTCAACTAAACGGTGGTTTAGTAAACTTTAAAAAAATATATAAAATAGGTATTAATGAGATAATCTATTAATTATGTTTGTCTATCTGCTACACATGTATTTATACATAAATGTAGATATTTGTGAACATCTAAATATAGCTGTTAAAGGTTTTAAGATATACATAATCACATCATGGGGTCATTAAGGACCAAATTAGGAGGGCCAGTCAGGCCACTAATGAGCTAGGAGGCGAAGATGACAGCCTCCACGTGGCTTCCTCTGCAAATAACAAGAAATGGTGCAAGACCAACTTGTGAAACTAATGTCGCCAACCAAACGTCAAGTTGGCAGGCTTAGGACTGGCGGACGGGCAGTTATCCCGTCCGTCGAAAACCGAGGCCTGTCAGTGCTTCAACTCAATGTCGAGGGCCTAACAACCGCCAAACTCTAAGAGACACACTGCACATCAGACAACATCCTCAAGATCCCTGGGTTCCATCTCGCTGGGTCCATCTACAGCAAGCAACACGGTGTGGCAATGTTCGTCCGTACTGAAATAAGCTGGTCAGCCAGTAGCCAATCCCCACC